CCAAATTTTAGTTCTAACCACACATGCACACGTCAAATAATGAAAGCGAGAGAAACAGAAAGGGAAAAAAAAAGACGAAGTCCAAAGTGTTTCGGTGTTTTTCCGACTGAGGCTCAAAAAGACGACTAGATCCTTACCTGTGCCTTGAACCTTGCAGGCTGCCAGACATGCTAGACTCTGAAGAGGAAAAAAAGAAAGAAAAGAGAAACGTTTAAAAATAAATCGGGTTCAGCCATAATCTTCATTTGAATTTAATAATTAATATGAAGCCAGTGGGTGGAAAGGGGGGGGGGATGGGGGGGGGTAGGATTGTTCATCTGAAGTAAAAGAAGCACATTCAGTCAATAGCGGCCGTACAGGGCAGGGAATATATGCAAAAGAGGACTTGTCAAGAGCAAAATCATTAACGATAACAATGCTTTTTTCTTTTTTCTAAATGACAAATGAGAAAAAAGTTCAAAGATTTCAAAATGACAAATTGAAAAAAAAAAGATTCAAAGATGAGAAAACTTCAACAGTGATTCATTCAGGCGAAATCCTAGGTGATCGGGGAAACACTCTGCGGATACATTTGTATAAAGTCATTTTCATAATTAAATAGAACAGGACGCCAGAGCCAGCCCGCTACTCGTCCTGGTCGGAGCGAACTGGGGCAAAAACGGGGCACAGGTAGAGAAGCCTAGGTGTTGTGTCTTACAATTCACTCCAATGCAATTGGTTCTTTGTGGGGGAAATCAAAGAGCTACGCGGAATAAAAATATGATTCTGAACAAATGCACTTAGGACGGATTGGCTGCGTCGATTAGTGGAGATGTCCCAGTGGACTTACCTCAATAAAAAGGCACAGCGGTCACGCGGTATTATTAAACATTTCTCTGCCTCCTACGCTTGTTCTCCTCCTCTTATAGTCTTTGGCACCGCCCAAACCTCATTCGTCCTTTCTCTGAATCTCTTCAATAGACCCGGTATTATTGGGGGTGTACACACGGCGCGATTAATGAGAGCTAAATGTATCGCTGTGACATCATTCGACATCGGAAATTCCTTTGACGGTTCCACACACTGAGAGCCCAGCTTTTTTTGTTTGTTTTAGTAGTAGAAGTTTTACGGCGCTCGCAACTGCATAAGGTCATATGAGCGCCAGAAGATTAGAGGTGTTTCAAGAGAGTAACAAACATAAAATAGGAGGACGGGAGATAAGGACGATAGATGTTTGATAGGGATGAAGAAGCAGACCACACCAGAGCACCCGCCAACCACCCACCCACCTTTTTTTTGGTCCTCAATCAGGGCGACGTTACGTCTATCGCTGAACCAGCTCAAGTCAAGATGGCTTAGAGACAGGACAACTCGAACTTCTTAACTTAAAACTCTCCAGTGAGACTCGAACCATGGTGGTTGGTCTTTTTAGGTTCAGTGCCAGTTTTACGGCACTTGCAACTCAATAAGGTCATAATAATATTATGAGTGCCGAAGATAAGAGGTGTAACAAACACACAAAAGGAGGAGGGGAGAGATCAGGACGACAGATGTTCGATAGGACGGAGGGATCAAACCATACCAGAGCACCCGCCGATGGTGGTCTTACACAACATCTCAGCGCAGAAATAATATCAACTGTACTAACAACCCTTTCAAACTTCATAAAGAGACGCAGTAGTTCATATGCTCAAACTGTTAACATCGAATAATACCACGGGCACGAAAGTCCCATCTTTCGACTTTACGATAAAATAGCATCGTGCGCACAGCCCATTACTTCTTTCAAGAGGATCATTGTCTTCCCCCCCCTTTCATCATAGTGCGCGCATCACAGAACGATCGCAGAAAGCCTGTTGCGGCAAACAAATATACTTAACACTTCCAGGACTAATACCAGCATCAGTTGTCGCGGATAATGGCTTACTCAGAGACGCTCAAATCACGCGATTAATTGAAACCCGCCTCCAATTGAAGCACGCCGATCGGGTGGGAGTTAAAGAAGAACAAAGCCTACCTTGATCAAACAAGTTATCCCTTCCCCATGAGGATTTTTCTTTTTTTTTGCCTGCCATAGAGAGAGAATCTCAATCCGGGTGCGTCTGAACCCCAGTTGTTGCTCTAAGAACTCATTGGACAGCTGAAGAGCTCGCGCTATAGGCTAACAATATCTCGGCACAGCGATATCCCCAAAGTATCTCCCTCGGACAAGGGCCATCAACCAAACAAACCACAAGTCTTTCAAAAAGACAAAGGAACCGACTCAAAACAGAACACTCCAAACACATTAAGAGGAAAATAGCCACTGGGTAACGACACATAGGAAATCCAATAAAGAACACC